CCAATAAGCCGGGTAGGTGGCTGGCCTACAAGTTAAAGAAAGAAAATGAAAAGCGGATTATCCAACAATTGGAGGATATGAAAGGGAATCTACAGAATAAAGAAGAAGACAAACTTGAAATTGCCCAAGAATATTATACAGAACTCTACAAAGAGGAAGAGGTTCCAAGAGAAAGGATTGAAAAATATTTATCAGAGGAAGAACTCCCACTGGTAGGAGAGGAGGAGAGGGAAGGGCTGAACAAAGAAATCACAATAGATTTCTAAGGGCGGCAATCTCAAAACTAAAAAACAACAAATCACCAGGCCCGGACGGTCTCCCAGGAGAAATATATAAAAAATTAGATGAAATATTACAACCAAAATTACTGGAGATATGTAACGAGGCTCTATTGGAGGCCAAAAGACCCGATTCGTGGAGGGAAGCTTATATTACATTACTGCCAAAAGAAGGTACTGACCCAAAACAAATAAAAAACTATAGACCAATCTCTCTTCTAAATTCGGACTATAAAATTTTTATGAATATAATGGCTGAAAGAATGAAAATAATATTAAATTTCATGATACATTCAGACCAGAACGGCTTTCTACCCGGCAGACAAATTAGGAATAATATAAGAATAGTTGTAGACATTTTAGGATATTATGAAGCCCACCCAGAAAAGCAAATGGCCTTAGTATTTTTGGATGCCCAAAAAGTGTTTGACAATCTTAACTGGAAGTTTATGATCAAACAAATTAAAACAATGAAATTTGGAATGAACTTCGAGAGAATGATAGAAACAATTTATAACCAACAAAGGGCAAGAATAATAATAAACGGGGATATGACCAAAACGTTCCAAATCAAGAAAGGAGTAAGACAAGGGTGCCCATTATCACCATTATTATTCATTCTGACATTAGAAACCTTGTTAAATAGTGTTTCACAATAGTGAAATAAAAGGTCTAAAGATCAGGAGAGAGGAATATAAGACACAGGCCTTTGCTGATGATGTAGTGCTTATTATTGAGGAACCGCTAGAAATGGGCCAAAGAATTCTTGAGGAATTAGGAAGATATGGCGAGGTTTCTGGATTTAAATTAAATAAAGGAAAAACTAAGATGTTGGTCAAAAACTTGACAGAAAGGCAAAAGGAAGAATTAGAAAAGAAATTGGACTTACAAATTGTTAAAAAAATTAAATACTTAGGAATTTAGATAGCATCAAGATGCTCAGACCTGAAAGAAGACAACTATATACCACTGATTAAAAAAATTAAACAGGATCTGGAAAAATGGGGCAAATTGCAGTTATCACTTCTGGGCAGGATAGCAACGATAAAGATGAATATCCTGCCCAAATTATTATAGCTATTTCAAACCACACCAGTCACCTTAGATAAAAGATTTTTTATAGAACTTAACAAAATTACCAAGAAATTTGTTTGGGGCAGAAAAAAACCAAGAATTGCACTTCGATCACTACAAGATAATAGAAGCAGGGGTGGACTCCCAGCGTGGGAAATCTATTACAAAGCGGCTAACTTAGTCTGGATAAGGGAATGGATCACCTTAAAAAATAAAAGAATCTTAACTCTGGAAGGGCATGACCTACAAAAAGGATGGCATGCCTATCTATGGGATAAGAAAAAAAAAGCCATACTTAGCACTTCCGGTTGGCGCCGTGGGGATTCAGACGGGGAATTAGCGAGGCTCCTTGGAGCCCCGCGAAAACCCCGTCTGTTAAGCCACCGCCGGCAGGTCTGTGGATCTACCCTGTCCTGTAGGGACAGGGGGTTAGAGAGGGACCCCTCAGATGGCCGAGAGGAACGGGCAGGTTCCTCGGGGCTGGAGGATTGCCCTCTGCGCTGGCAGCGGTGGATGCGGCAGCCATGGCGGCTGCCCCAAGACCGCAGCAACTGGAACAAAAGGATGCACAGGAGGAGAAGCGGAGAGTGGAGCAGGGAGTTTGAAAGCCGGGTGACTGGACTTCTGTCCAGGCGGGAACTGCCCATAAATGCTGGATTACAATGAGCGTGCTCCAGTTTAAACAGCGGCTGAGAACTATTGGGGCAAAAAGACTCAAATGGTGAAAGGGAAAGACCTGTTGATAGATAGCATCAATTACCGACTTCCTGGAAACGATTTCACTACAGTTTTGGCTTTTCTTTTTCTTTTTTTGTGGTTAAATGAGAATGGATTATGTTTGAGAGAGAGGAAAGAGAAAAGGAAATAAATATGCTTTTAAAAGTAAAGACAAAAGACAAATGGAGATGGACAAAATGGCTAACAACTGAGAAGTGAAAGTGTAAATTCCAGACTGCTTGTTATTTGAAAGAGAAACTTTGTTGCTTGTTACTTAAAGTGGATTATTTTGAGAAAAAATTCAGGAGGCTTGACTTTGGATATATAATCTGTTTATTGGAGGATAAATATAATGTTCTTGCTACAGTAAAATTGAGTAAAGAAACAAAAATAGAAGTATTATTCAGAGATGGTAATGTATTGTTAACTAACAGTGGAAAAGAAGTAGGAAATGTAGTCATATCAGGAGGACTACCTTACTATATACCACCTCACAAATCTATTGAACAGATAAGTGCTAGCTTTAGCAACGAAGATGAAAATAGTGATGGTGTAGAAGAAAAAGAAGGGGAAGAAAATATAGAAGATGGTTGTAATACTAATGAATGTAACACAGAAGGGGAAAATAGTAACAATGTTGATAACATTGATGTTGAACATGTTGTAACTGAACCAATCAATAACAAATGTATTTCTATCGGTAAACCTATACATGATAATTGCGCCCACCTATTACACCGAAGATTGGGACACATAGGTTTCCCGATTATAAAAAAGATGTTAAACTGTTCTAAAGGTCTTCAAGTAAACAACTGTGATAATTATCTAGAGTGTTCTATTTGTAAAAGCTCAAAATTAAAAAACAGACCCCGACCAAAGAAATCTATAAGAAGCACCACACACATTTTTCAGATGGTGCACATGGATATAGTAGGTCCATTGAAGCCTTCAACTGGCAACAAACGTTTCTTCCTTTCGATTGTCGACGACCATAGTAGGTACGGTTTCGTGTACACTCTCAAACACAAAAGCGAAACATTTGCAAAATTCAAAGAATTTTATAGGAGTGTTGAAACTCAACATAATATCAAAGTCAAACAAATAATTACAGACAGAGGTTCTGAATTCATGTGCAAAGAATTTAGTAATTGGATTAACAAAAATGGTTTGATACATTACAAAACTTCACCGCTTTCGCCATACCAAAATGGTGTTTCTGAACGCAGAAACGGTATTTTACAGACTATGGTTAGGTGTGTGTTGGAAGATGCAGGGTTAAGTTTTTCATATTGGGGAGAGGCCGTTCTATATTCAAATTATACATTGAATAGATTATGGTATAGCGTAATTCAAAAAACACCATATGAAATCATGTATAACTGCAAACCCAAATTATCTCACCTTCACGTTTTTGGGGTAATGGCCAACGTACATATTCCCAAACAATTTAGAAGAAAGGGGGACAAAATCTCAAAAAGGCTAAGATTCGTAGATTATGAGTCCAAAACCAAAGCATATAGATTTATGGACAACAATCATAAAATAATAATTTCAGGATTGGCGAATTTTGATGAAAATGCAAATTGGAGCAAAATACATTCAAACGAAATCATAATAGATAAACACACATATAAAGATAATCAAACACAATCAAAACCTCACAAACACAACAACAAATCAATTAAACATAAAATAGCAATTAAGAATTGGAAAGAAGGACACCACATCATTGACACATGAGACATTGATGAAGAGTACCCCAACAAATCGTATGAAAATAATAATAACACAGACAAAAACATCAGAAGATCACCTAGATCAAACAAAGGGAACACACCTAAAATCTTAAAGGACTATGTGATGTCCATTAATTGCGATGTCACTACACCAAAAAACTATGAGGACATTTTGGCTCTTCCCGAGGAGGAACAAATAAAGTGGAAAAATGCCATGCAAAAAGAAATGGATACACCATTTACACCAATATACACCAGCTAGAATTCCCAAACACAAAAAAACAATTGGAACGAGATGGGTATTCAAGGTAAAACATTTAGAAGATAACAAAAATCTATATAAGGCAAGACTTGTAGCACAAGGGTTTTCTCAAAGATTTCCAGATGTTTACACAGATACCTATTCTCCTACAGTCAGGTCAGAAAGTGTAAAAACCGCACTAGTCATTGCATCAATTCTAAACGAACATGTGTTTCAATTTGATGTACAGACAGCGTACTTACACGTACAACTAGACAAAGAAATTTATGTCAGAGCATCACCAGGAATTGACCAAGATGAGGGCAAAACATGGCTATTTAAAAAAAGTCTCTATGGTCTGCAACAATCGGATAAGCGTTGGTATGATTGTCTTTCTAGAACACTTAGGCTGATAGGTTTCACCGCCACATCAGCTGACAAATGTGTATTTGTCAGGAGAGATCAATGTTCCTATGAAAAAGTATTAGTATATGTTGATGATATTTTGTACATCGGTAAAAATAAATCCAAGTGTGATCAATTTGCTCAAAAACTCAATGAACATTTTTCATTAAAATCATTGGGAAAGGTTGATAAATACCTGGGAGTTCAAATTACCAAAACTGAGAATGGTTTCATACTATCCCAAAAAGAAAAAAATTTAGAATTGTTATTGAAATGCAACATGACCAACCCTAAACCATCTGATACGCCTATGCAGGCTGATTTTATAAGAAATATGTATAATGATGGTGAAATTTTTAATGAAGATACACTATATGGATCAACAATCGGTTCATTGCTCTATATAGCTAATTGGACCAGACCCAATATATCTCTTCCTGTCAACTTACTATCTAGGCATGTAAATAACCCAAAGGTATATCACTGGAAAGCTGTTAAAAGACTGCTAAAGTATCTGAAACATACAATAAATGTCACATTAACACTCACCCCAAAGATATCCAAGTCACCAATACTCTCATGTTATGCAGATGTGGATTGGGCTAGTGACAATAAAATGAGAAAAAGCACCTCAGGTTATGTCATATATTTAAATGAAAGCCCAATACATTGGTACACAGGAAAACAAAAGCTTGTATCAACATCAACTACAGAGGCAGAGTTTGTATGTTTGTCGAAAGCGGCGAACAATTTAATATGGTTCGATGATTTAATGATAGACATTTGGAAAGAGCCTGCATATCCAATAATCATACGGGAAGACAACAAAGCCACCATTGACATATCTAAAGATGACGCAATTGATCAAAGATCCAGACATATAGACATTAAATATAAACATGTGAGACAGTTATCAGAAATGGGATTTATAAAGGTGGTACATTGTAAAACGAAAGAACAAACCGCAGATATATTAATTAAACCACTCCCATCAAATCAGCATATTTATTTAACAAAGAGACTATGTGTAAATATATAAATAGTGTATTATAGTTACAGTACTTGTAATTATTTTGATTAAACCAATCTGATATTAGAAGGGGTATTGTTGAGATGAAATACCAGAATGTTTTAATCTGGAATAAACATCATCAATATAACATGTTCTATTTAAACTACATGCCCCATAATGCAATGTTCCACTTCCCCCTCCCACTTGATATAAAAGGTACTCAACTTCTCTTTGCTCTCCACTCTCGTCTGTGTTCAAGTGATGTAATGTACATAGAAAGAAAAAGGATAGACTTATTAGTTTAGAAATAAAATAAAACATATATTCTGATTCTAATTATATGTAGTTGTTTGACTTGATCCTTTTTAACATAACATGCTAGACATTCCTGACTCTAGGGGATGGTGCTCATCTCCGTTTGAAAGCCGAACAGCCAGCGCTGTCCGAAGACATCTCCGTGGTCATGTGGCCGGCATGACTAAATGCCAAAGGCGCACAGAACGTTGTTACCTTCCTACCAAAGGTGGTCCCTATTTTTCTACTTGCATTTTTTACGTGCTTTCGAACTGCTAGGTTGGCAGAAGCTGGGATAAGTAACGGGAGCTCACCCTGTTGTGCGACACTAGGGATTCGAACTGCTGAACTGCCGACCTTTCGATCGACAAGCTCAGCGTCTTAGCCACTGAACCACCGTGTCCCTTCCTTTGCTGGTAGCCTAATTTTTGGTAAATTGCTCTAACCTCATAATCTTATTTCTTGTGTTATGTCATTCTTTCTACTTATATTTTGGTATAGCAATCAAATAAATTATCTAAACTGTTTGAATGTGACTTGTTTCTTGGAACAAACTATACTCTTGTGGTCCTATAAAACGAGAGAACATGGATTAAATTCCTGTGCCTTAATCTGGATTCAGATTGAGTTTAAAGCTTAATTCCTTGTGAGTATGGTTAAAATATCAGTTTAAAGAAAGTTAAACATCTGAGTGAAATATTAGAAACAAAGCAGGGGTTTATTTGTATCAGTGTTAGTGCAGAAATAAAATGAGAGGCTTCTTGAAGTTCAAATAGAAAATGGCATCCATATGTTATTCATCTATTATCATTTTTTAATAGAATAAAATAGAGATGGAACAGAGATGGAAATAGAAATATTTCCTATTGTCAAATCTGCTGGAACACCTACAGACTAATTCACATTATAATTGCAAAGGAAAATATGAATGTTTTTCATTCCTGAATGTAATTAAGTTAATGGCATTTTAATTATTTTGCAGAAAAATCAATATCAGAATATGGCAGATAATACAACAGCCTAAAACATTTTACTATTCAAGTTTTTCAAAATCTAAATATGATTTTGGTGAATGGTTTAAGCATATAGAGACATAGAAAATATGGAAATCATGTACTTATAAAATATCTCTATATATGAACACTGGTGGTGCATTAAGAATATGGCAGCATTGATGGAGAGTTTTGGAGATTAATCTGACAGGTGGGGTGCAGACATTTCATTTCAGATTTTGGAGGTGGGGTGCATTAAGGGTAGGGTACCTTAGAAATATCTAAAGACAATCCCTGGTGTAGATAGCATTTACACGCATCTTTTTTTAAAAAAAATTAAATATTAGGGCAAAGAAGCACCCTCGAGTTGCCCATGCCCACCCAGTCACATGACCACTTAGCCATGCCCACCCAGTCACATGACCACCTACCCACATCCACCTAGCCATGCCTACAGAACCGGTAGTAAAAAAAATTTGAATCCCACCACTGGTTGCCACCCTATCTTTGTGCTCCAATAGGACAAGAGTAGGGATTAGACTTTTTTCCCTGTGACTGCAAGCAGGTACAGTGTTTCATATCTGAACTAGAGAAGCCTCAGCTTATCCAGTTCTTTCTGATTTCAAGAAGTTTTTGAACAAATTATACTACATTTGCAGTTAGACACAGATCGGAACTGGCAAGACAGACCAAGTTCTTGAGACAACATGCAGTGGAAGGCATAGAATACCAGAGGCCAAAGAGGAAAAAAGTGTACCTGTGATTTACAGTAGCCCCAAAGCCACACGTTACTCTTACTAACTGTTCTACCATAGAAATCAACATGCAAGACCCCATATGTCGGAAGAAATATCGATCTGGTTCATTTCCAAGCCAGGAGAACGGCACTGGAGACAAAATGGAGGCTGGAGGCTGATTGGAAAGAGGGCCCATTTATTGATGAAGCAGAACCACCAAGTACCTGTGATTCTGGGCAGCTGACCACATGGAGTTGAGAGTGAAGGATTTTTATACCTTCTCTTGGCCTTTGCACTTGAGCTTCCTTTTCCTGTGCAAGAACATGTATTCTATTGGCTGTTGTCAGACTCCCATGGGGCCATGTAGGGGTTATGTAGGGGTCATATCTGGCTCTGTAGGTTGTCTAAGCTATGTTTGGTTGAAGTTTCCTGAGGGTAATGCAATATCCTTAGGAGATTGTGCAATGTAGTGAGCTCTGTGTCTTAGTGGGTTAATCCTATTATGTCCTGAAGGGACATGTGTCAATCCCTTCACCCTGGAGCTGAAGGTCGTTTGTTTTGTAGATAGGCTGGCCCAATCTTTCTCAATGCACACAAAATATCTGCTGGGGGTCTCCCTTAAGATTTTTATTTCTCTTTTAGGGGAAATATTTTATCCTGCCTTTTTAAATATTTCTCAAAATATTTCATTCTTCTACAAGGGGGGTGGATGCTAACTTTCTACACATTAACTATTCTGAGACAGGCCCTTTTCATTCTCCTAACCACCCAAATTATGTGCAGACTGTCTCCTTAAATCTATCCCTTCTGTAGCAGCAACTAGCACTAGTCACCTGAGAACTTCATCCTGGTCCAGCCCTTTCAGCTATCTTATTAAATTATAACATGGGGCCTCTGAGAGTCATCTGATCTTTTAATATTGCAGATAAATATTGAAAACCTTGAGGTTTTTAAAAGAACCATTTTCACAGTTCTCAAACTAAGGAAAGATTATTAACAAGTGCCTTAAGTCCATAAATAACCAGTTTCTCCTTTCAAACTCTTTCCCTCAAAGTCCAAACGCAATTGTGGGACAGAACTAATCCCACAATAGTTTAATTAATAATTAGAAACAGCTGTACATGGGAAACATAGGTAAATACAGCAGTCCTTAAATTATGTATGCCAAAATATCCTTGAGGATTAGAGGTAGCAAAAATCTACCAACTCTGATAATAAAAACAATCTTCATCTTAACAGGCAATTAGAAATTAGAAATGGAAATTAGAAATTAGAAACAGGCAATTAACAATTAGAAATGGATTTCGGATTTGACTCAAGGATCATCAATACTTGGTTCTGCAGCAGTTCAGAATCAGTCAAGCTATGCACGATCACAGAATTGCAGGACAATAAGAAAGATTGGAGGTCTTCTAATCCAACCCCCTACCTTTGAAAACCAATTTTATTTTTTTTTAATGTTTTCTTTAATTCTATCTGTTTATCAGCTGTATCTCAAAGCCCATGACTTATAAGATAGGTTAAACTTACAAGTTATTACCAGATACCTTCTGATTTTGGTCCACCACAAAAACATTGCTGCCCTATCCTGTGATGGGTTTTTTGGGGGAGGGGGAAGGTGAAGTGACTTATAAGTGAATTCAGACATTATAATTTCGAAGCATGTCTTTCAAAACCCTTATAGAAAATATTTTCTGTCAGCTCAGGACAACACAGGTACCAGTGTCAACACAGTGATTAAACGTGTTCAACCATAGTTCAACCCTGAGCTATCAATATTCTCTTCTATCTCTACAATGATGCGCGCGCTGTCGGGCTCTAGGGGGCGATGCTCATCTTCGTTTCTTAACCGAGGGAGTCAGTGTTGATTTTGAAACATACAGCACATTTTTACTGTAATTACAGTGCCTGTAAATTCTATTTTTGAAATCTTCGCGTATCCGTTGCTTTCGAAGAAAGGCAAAATCAAATAATCAAACACTTAAAAACACCCATGCCCACATACCACAAGGAAGTAGTTGGATGTACACGCCTTCTCACGTCTCCTATGCGTTCAATCCCGCCATCCCACTTCCCCGTCCGGGCGTGGCTTCTTCTGGTGCACAAGTGGAAGAGGAGGGCGACCGCGCCGAGTTAAAGGCCGCTCGGTATTGTGGGGCAAAAACGGTTGGAGGGGGCCGATAGTGGGCGGGCATTGACAGCAGTCACGTTGTGGCGGCGGCGCTTTAGCCGGGCGGTGGGTTTGGAAGGTATCACGTAGCGAGTTCCTACAGAGCGACCACCGAGACACGAGAGAAGTGCGGGTCCTGTAGTCCTTGGTCAGACGAGGAAAGGAGCCGCTGGGAAATGCGATCCGATGCTATCTTCCCCCTTGTTATCCCTGGGATGTGCGTAGGGCTAACCCTAAATCGACCATACTCGAAGGCTCACAACCTCCTTAGAGGCCGAGCTGTTTTCTATAATATGCATTAATCATAATGAAGTTAAATAAACATCTTTACGTTAGTAATTGGCATTTAACATTATTGAAATTAATAATTAGCAAAAATGTTTCATAGTATCAAGTGATGAATTTAGGGACCAATTCAAACTTACAAAAAACGGGTGTACATGTGACTGCAGTGATGCATATTTATTACTGTTGGAAGAAATGTCCATCTGGGTTCAGTTCCAAGTGGGAAGAAAGACACTGAAAACATAGAGACTGCATGGAAGATGGTTTAATGTGGACAGGACCACATGGTTTGAGGTCCTCGGCAAAAAGAGCATATGGATGAGAGAGGGGGAGAGATTTAAACCCTGGTTCAGCTTTGAATTTGCTTCCTGTTCCTGTGGCAAGAAATGTATCCTGATTGGTTGTCAGACTCACATGGGGCTATACAGGGATAGGTTGTCTTGAGTCCCATGCTTGGTTGAATCTTGTTGGGTGATGTAATCTTCCCAGGTGCCATGTGGTGAGATGGATAGAGAGCTAATCCTATTATGTCCTGAGGGTGAAGGTCTTTTGTGTTGTAGATAAACTGGCCCAGCCTTTTGTCTTGTATATAGATTGGCACCAGTCTTCCTGGGGCTGTTAGCAAAGGGGGGCTGCTTTCCAAGAGCATGCTTCTCTTTTTCTCATCCAGGAGGTATAATATTCTATCTTTTTAATATTTCCTAGAATATTTCATTCTCCTAGGAGAGGGGTGGGTGCTAACTTCCTAGATTACCAATAAACACTAATCTGAACCATGTGGTAATTTAAATACACGCACACAGTCAGAGTCTAAATATATCATCCCCTAAAATATGAATCGGCATCTTCTCCCATTCCCTTGCCTGTCATCTCTTTCTGAGATTTCACCAGGCACTACACATAGTTTGAAACTATATGCTGCCTTAGGGTTGTGCAGTGGGTTGAATGAGATGGAATGATTAGCCCAAAGTCACTCAGCTGGCTTTCATGCAGTCTCCACTATACCAAACTAGCTCTTAATTACCCCAACGTCTGTTGGATGACAAATTCTGTCAAGCAAGATGTTACAAAAAATCCTAATTGGTCTTGCTGATAACTTTCCTTCAATTGTGAAGGAAGGAAGATCAGTTATCTTTGACTTAATAGTAATCTAGGAACAACTTTGCGAAGCAAGTGGAATTAGCAGAAACATTGGGCCAATATAATGTTAGCATTTTTAATTTTAAGGGAAAACAAAAATGTATAATTATCAAAAACATTTTAGGGACTTGTTAAAATAGCAGATTTTAATATATTTAGAGCAGTGACAAGTCGCATTTTATGGCACAAAAAACTAATGGGCAAACAAGTTCAAATTTTCTGAGAATTTTGAATATTGAAGGATAATTATGAATTATTCCATTAGGGAAAAAATAATGGAGGACAGCAGAAATAGACCATGTAAAAAGCTTAGTAAACATCCAAAAACAAAAAAGGACAAATAAAAGAAAGAGAAAAGTCACAAATAGGAATACAAATAGGCAACCTGTAACTATTGGAGTGATGTCAAGAAGGTAATGCCCAGAATCATATATTAGCAAAGAATGCATGCAATGACAAAATAGTATATTTAGATATATTCCGAATAAAATGGGGAAAATCAATATTCTTTTCAGTGCTTTTTTGTTGTTGTTGTTAATGGCTTGTATAAGTAGATGGTGTAAATGTTTATCAAATGTGTGGTTGAAATAAATAGAGTAATACTGAAGAAGGCAGAAATAAAACAGTAATGAAATGAATATAAGGCAGCAGTGTAATGTCGCTTCAAAATAGTCAAATACAATTTTGAGCTGCATCAACTGAAATATAATTATCAAAACGGGAAGCAGTTCTTTTGCCTTTGTACAATTTTATCTCAAGTGTTGTGTCCAGTTTTGGGCAATGTACTTTAAGAAAGATTCAAAGACAGGTTCAGAAAAAGACAGTGAGAATGACCTAGGGACTGGAAACTACAGTTGTGCTCATAAGTTTACATACCCTGGCAGAATTTATGATTTCCTGGCCATTTTTCAGAGAATATGAATGATAACACGAAAACCTTTATTTCACTCATGGTTAGTGTTTGGCTGAAGCCATTTATTATCAATCAGCTTACTCTTTTTCAATCATGACAACAGAAGCTACCCAAATGACCCTGATCAAAAGTTTACATTCCCTGGTGATTGTGGCCTGATAACATACACACAGGTTGACACAAAGAGGTGTGAATGACTATTAAAGGTAAGCATCCTCACCTGTGATCTGTTTGCATGTAACTAGTGTGTGTGTATAAAAGGTCAATCAGTTTTTGGCCTCCTGACAGACCCTTGCATCCTTCATCCAGTGCTGCACTGACGTTTCTGGATTCTGAGTCATGGGGAAAGCAAAAGAATTGTCAAAGGATCTGAAGGAAAAGGTAGTTTATTTATTTATTTGTTTGTTTAAATTTCTATACCGCCCTTCTCCAATGTAGGACTCAGGGCGGTGAACAGCCAAAGTAAAAACAAGACATACATGCTGTATGAACTGTATAAAACAGGAAAGGGATATAAAAAGATATCTAAGGAATTGAGAATGCCAATCAGCAGTGTTCAAACTCTAATCAAGAAGTGGAAAATGAGTTCTGTTGAAACCAAACCACGGTCAGGTGGACCAACTAAACTTTCAGCCACAACTGCCACGAAAATTGTTCGGGATGCAAAGAAAAACCCACAAATAACTTCAGGTGAAATACAGGACTCTGAAAACATGTGGTGTGGCTGTTGCAAGTTGCACAATAAGGAGGCACTGGAAGAAAGATGGGCTGCATGGTCGAGTCACCAGAAGAAAGCCATTACTATGCAAATGCCACAAAGAATCCTGCTTACAATACGCCAAACAGCACAGAGACAAGCCTCAAACCTTCTGGCACAAAGTCATTTGGAGTGATGAGACCAAAATTGAGCTTTTCAGCCACAACCATAAACGCTACATTTGGAAAGGGGTCAACAAGGCCTATGGTGAAAAGTACACCATTCCTACTGTGAAACATGGAGGTGGATCGTTGATGTTTTGGGGATGTGTGAGCTACCAAGGCACAGGAAATTTGGTCAGAATTGATGGCACGATAAATGCAGTATGTTATCAAAAGATACTGGAGGACAATTTGCATTCATCAGCCCAGAAGCTGCGCATGGGATGTACTTGGACATTCCAACATGACAATGATCCTAAACACAAGGCCAAGTCGACCTCTCATTGGCTACAGCAGAATAAAGTAAAGGTTCTGGAGTGGCCATCTCAGTCTCCTGATCTCAATATTATTGAGCCACTCGGGGGAGATCTCAAATGTGCAGTTCATGCAAGACTGCCCAAGAATTTACAGGACCTGGAGGCTTTTTGCCAGGAAGAATGGGCAGCTTTATCATCTGAGAAGATAAAGAACCTCATCCACACATACCACAAAAAACTTTAAGCTGTCATTGATGTTAAAGGGGGCAATACATCGTATTAAGAACTGGGGTATGTAAACTTGCGATCAGGGTCATTTGAGTAGTTTCTGTTAACATTATGATTGAAAAAGAGTAAACACAGTTGATTGATAATAAATGGCTTCAGCCAAACACTAACCACGAGTGAAAGAAAAGTTTTCATGTTATCATTCATAGTCTCTGTAAAATGGCCAAGAAATCATAAATTCTGCCAGGGTATGTAAACTTATGAGCACAACTCTATATCCTATGTAGATAAATTAAAGGAGCTTGGTATTTGATCCTGAGAAAAGTGACAAAAGTGTATGTACAGGTAGTCCTAGCTAAATAATTGTAATTTGGACCCGAATTCAATCACTAAGTGAGGTGATCATAAAGTGTGAAGTCATTTGACCATGCTGCATAGCAATGACTTCCAGCAGTCTCCAATTGCAAGGACCATGAAAGTCATCAAACAAAGACCTCATATGACTGCAGCTTCTGACTTCCTGCTGGTTTCCCCATTGACTTTGCTTGTCGGAAGCCGAAAGGAAAGGTTGCAAATTGTTATCGTGTGACTGTGGGACACTGCAACAGTCAGAAATCTAGGCTGGCTACTGAGCAACAATATCATGATCACATGATTGTGAAGGTGCTGAAATGGCCAGAACATTGAGGACCATTTGTAGATACTATTTGTTCAAATTTGCTCCTTCACAAATTTGAATGGTTGCTGAATGAGTGATCGTTAATTAAAGATCACCTGTAATGGAGCTGTCCATATACTTGAAAGATGTCATTTTCATTTCTATAGGTCATAGAATAATGAATTTAAGTTATAAGAAGGCAGATACCAATTGCAATGAATGTTAGGGGGAAAAAACTTTGCTAATATTAAGAGCAGTTTAACAATTGCTTAGTGTGTGGGCTTCCCTTTGGATGAATTCAAGAGGAAGCATAGTTTGGATTCCTATATAGAGCACATGGCTGGACTTGATGGCCTACATAGCCTCTTCCATCTGTATGGTTCTAGGTATAGAAACGTGGATTGATGCAACAAACTTTTTCTTCTTCTTCCACAGATAAGCTATATCAGCATCATCATGCCAAGTCCTAGGAACAGTCCAAAGAGCATACATGAGAGACGGGCTTATGGCAGTAGACTAGAGTTCTTGTCATTGACAAATCAGAGAGGCCCAATATTCCCAGAAAATATGTCTCATCATAAAGACTCTCCTACTAGTACTGGCCCTCAACAGGCTTTACCCAAAGAGGACTCTATGAAGCTCAATCCTTCTTTCTGGGGTATTGCCCTGCATTCTCTTTTGGCTGTTGATTTGTGGGCCTCTAAACTACTGGGTGTATGCGCTGGAGAGAATTCTCCATGGGGCAGTGTCCGTCCTGTCATGATGGTCATAGAGGTGTCAGGACATGGAATTCCTTGGCTAACTGGTACATTGTACGGGCTTTACAGAAGTGGCAGCTCAGCAAGTCGTGAGGTGCTGCTCAATCTACTCTTTGGTAAGAGCCTTGTTTGCCTTAGCCAGTGGAGGTTTTGTTCCTTATATTTGTTACTTCTTTCTCTTGTGATTATTGGCTCAAGACGTGAATAATATCACAGTAAACTGATAGAGATAAGAATAATACTTTCACCTTTCTATCCTTTGATTTTCTTTGTAGATAGTTTCCATAATAGTGGAAATTCTTTTATATGGACATGATGTAGTACTGTTCTCCCAGATTCAAATTAGTTTAAAAACAGTATTTTGTGCTTTGGTTGATCCCTGTAATGCAGAAGCCCTAGGAATTAATTAAAATAAAACTAAAGTACTGCTGTTTACAAAATACCCTAAAACACACATCTGGAAATGAAATAATCATTCAATAGAGCAGGTCAAGTAATTTAAGTATCTTAAAATCATATTTTGTGTCATAATATGCAAGCTACGCATGGCATACGTAATACAAAAAGCTCAAAGAGTTACCACAACCCTCCAAATATTCTTATTTGCCAAAGGGCCATTGCACTGTGACCCTTTGCATTACATTCAGCCCATGTTTGGACACAATTATTATTTGGTGTATATATAGGCTCTAACAGGTACTTTACAAGGATACATATTAAGTTCCTTTGGGGTTTTTCCTTAACCCGTGTGCACATACTAGGGCAAGAATGTACAGTAAAGATAGTAATAGCACCTCTTCACACTTGAAGACATCCTTAACTACTGTGGAAATGTATGGCATTAATCAATATTTGCTATTTAATACTGAACTTCTTAACTTTTGAAAAGCCATTAAAAGATTGGAATGTGTTTCAAATACACATTCATTAATACATTCATTACAAAAAGATTGAAAAATCATCTTTATTGTGCTAAAGAACTTCAGGCTTCCATCTTGCTGTAAAATGAGTTTGCTGCAGAACAGTAGAAAAAGGTTCTTGGATCTGCTGCTTTTCTTAAGATTCGTTTGCTTATTTCAATTTCTCCAAAAGTTGCTGTAGTGTTTGACTTAATTAATAGTTTTAATGTTCTTGGCTAATTCCTTGGTACATATTATACACAACCTACTTCATTCACTTTGTTTTTTCTTCAGAATAGTGCAATTACATACACTGTTGAAAGAGTGTTGTGTATTGTCAATCACTCATTAGCTTTGGAAAGCACAACAGGACAATTATAATCAAGACTCTAAGGATAATTACAGATTTAGAAAAGTATTGGAGCTGAGTTAGGAGTCTCCCTAAACTATGGATTGTAGGACATTTTTTACTCCAAATTCAACAGGCACCAAAATTATGGCACTATTGGTATTTTGTAGGACATTCAGAATCTTTTTGCACATTTTTAGAAATGGGCTATATCAAGCTTTTGAACTGTGTAATATACAGTTTCAAACCTAAAAAGTCCTCTAAGACTGAGTAGAAGGCAGGGTGATAACAGTTTACTTTGCTTCCTGGCCTGCTGCCCATAAAATGGTTGAGTTGAATGAGAAGAGGCATGATGTCCCAAGATACTTCCATTTAACTAACGGCAACAGCAACAGACTGCTTTCCAAGTCTACCATGACATGAGGAGCTGGTGATGGTAGCAGTTGATTCCAGCATTAGAAAAAGGCTATGGGAGACAGATGGGAAGAAGCAGCCTATGAATACAGGTAGTCCTTACTTACAACAGTTCATTTAGTGACTGTTTAAAGTTACGACGACACTGAAAAAGTGACTTATGACCATTTTTCACACTTACAACCTTACAGCATCCCCACTTACACACTTACAGCATCCCCATGTCATCTGATCAAAATTCTGATGCTTGTCAACTGGTTCATATTTATGACTATTGCAGTGTCCTGGGATCATGTGATCACCTTTTGTAGCCCTCTGACAAGCAAAGTCAATGAGAAAGTCAGATTCACTTAACAAGATTCACTTAGAGAGCCTGTAGTTCAGTGGACTAAAGCACTGTTATTAACATCTGCTTGCAATTACTGCAAGTTCAAATCTCACCAGGCTCAAGGTTGACTCAGCCTTCCATCCTTTGAAAGGTAGGTAAAATGAGGACCCAGATTGTGGGGGCAAAGCTGACTTTGTATAAATATACAAAAGTATGAAGGCTATTGCTTAACGCATTGTAAGCCACCCTGAGTCTCCGGAGAAGGGCGGCATATAAATTAAAGCAAAAAAAAAAACAAAAACAAAAAACCCTGTGTTACTAAACAACTGCAGTGTTTCACTTAACAATTACGGTAAGAAAGGTTGTAAAATGGGGCAAAATTCACTTAGCAAATGTCTCACTTAGCAGCAGAAATTATGGAGTCAATTGTGGTCATATAAATCAAGGATTACCTGTAGTGCTGCCTGTTAAAAAGAAATTCCTGTATTGTATTTCAATTATAGCTAGAGTGGGAAATGGCGGCTGACTGGCCTGACCACAAAGTCAGCAGGGACTATGCAGGCATCTGGGTTTTGATAAGACCAGGGGTGAAATGCTCCCAGTTCGGACCAGATCACCTGATCTGGTAGCGATGGAGGCGGGTGGTTCGGAGAACCGGTAGCAAAAATCCCTCCCCCCCTCCCCCAATGCCCAGCTGAGCCGTGCAATCATCAGAGGCTTTTTTTAAAAAAAATTTAAAAGCATTTTTGTACAACCTCTTCAACTGAAAAAATGCTTTTAAAAGTAAAAAAAAAAAAAAAGCCTCTGACGATCCAAGCTGAGTTGCCTGATCGGCAGAGGCTTTTAAAAGAAAAAAAGCCTCTGACGATCAGGCAACTCAGCTGGGATCATCAGAGCCGTTTGAAAGCATTTTTTTACAACCTCTTTGCTGAAGAGGTTGTAGAAAAAATGGTTTTAAAAGTTAAAAAAAAATTGGACACGCCCACCCAGTCACATTACACCCCTCCACCAAGCCACGCCCACAGAACCAGTAGTAACAAATTTTAGATTTCACCACTGGATAAGACCCAGCACTTTCTCTGTGTAGACATAATGACAGTCCAGAGGTACCTAGACAAATGAGCACTGTGGTGAAGTGGACCTAGATGTGGAAATATGCATAAAGTTTCTGGGTCAGAATATCGAGAAGTGTAATTTCTCAGGTATGGAAATCCATAGTAGTTATATGATTGTAAGTCTACAGTGCTGCTGCAAAAGCCACACTGAATCCTGTTATTTGAATAGACTTCACTAAAACCTAAAATAAGGTAATTTGAACATTTCTACATTTGAAAAGTGAATTCACTGGCAATATTGTTATTTGTTGGGTTTGAAGCTTTGTAATTTATAGTATTTCTTTTTAAAATATCTGAAAGTTGTTTCTCTGCCTTATCTCACAGCTCTGATTCTTGATCTAGTTTTGGTGGCAGCAGTGAAAGGACTGGTGAAACGAAGACGTCCAGTCCACAACAAGATGGATATGTTTGCCACTGTCTCTGTGGACAAATATTCCTTTCCTTCAGGCCATGCTACCAGAGCCTCCATGGTGTGCAGATTTATACTACATCATCTTGTACTTGCAATCCCTCTGAAAGTGCTGGTTGTACTTTGGACCTTCATTGTGGGAATCTCTAGGGTCATGCTTGGCAGACATAATGTAACAGATGTGGTCTTTGGGCTAAGCATGGGCTACATGCAATATAATTTGGTGGAATATTTCTGGTTGTCACCTGTAAATGCTCCTGTCCTTTTTGCCTTGTGGAACTGATGGTTCTTGAGGGAAGAGGAATATTTGTCTTAGTGTAAATATTTGTGATACTTCATCTGATCATCAAATTAAATGAGTAGAGCCAAGATTTTCACAATATGTGTGATCTAATATAAGTTTGCTCTGGAAGGCTTAATTCACAAAAATAAAGGCTTACCAGGCAGCAGACTCTCTTGCATGATTTTATGCAATATTGAGGACATTGATACATAAAATATATTTAAAAATAGACCTATAAATGTAAGTTGGAGAACATTGGAACTGCTTTTGATCAGATCAGCCATCGTGCTGTCCCCTTATTTTTTTAGGATTTGTGATTAGGCTAGAAATAATTGCGTGAATTAGTAAAATAAGTCTGCTTGTAGCACAATAAGACACAAAAATAATGATATAGAATTATAAACACTTTATCAAACTGAGTCCATAAATGATATGTATTCCAATTAGCGCTGATAGCTTTTGATATTCAAATAGTAGCATTTATTGTAGTTTTAGCTATTCTGACATATAAGTTGATCAGTTCTTTTCTGCAGAGTTTAAAATTTTGCTTTATAAATCATATCAATTTCTTAATGTATAGTCATGTGAAAAAGAAAGTGCACCCTCTTTGAGTTCTATGGTTTTACCTATCAAGACACAGTAAAAATCATGTAAAATACAGTAAACATCACAGTAAAACACCATGGCATCATTTTTTTACAAAGAGAAAGCCAACATTGAGAAGTCATGTGTGAAAAACTAAGTACACCTTATAGTACACCAATAAGTACACCAATAGCGTGTAGAACCACTTTTAGCACCAATAACTTGAAGTAATTGTTTTCTGCATGATTTTATCAGTCTCTCACATCATTGTGGAAGAATTTTGGCCCATTCTTCTTTACAACATCGCTTTAGTTCATTGAGGTTCTTGGCATTTGTTTTTGCACAGATCTCTTGAGGTCCTGCCACAGCTTTTCAATTGGGTTGAGGTCTGGACTTTGGCTGGGCCATTGCTACAGCTTGATTCTTTTCTTTCTTAGCCATTCTGTTGTAGATTTGCTACATTTGGGATTTGGGATCGTTGTCCTGTTGCATGACCCAATACCAGCCAAGCTTTAGCTATTTGACATTTGTCCTCACATTTGACTCTAGAACAGTGGTCCCAACCTTTGTGGCTTGGCGGCTGGCTGAGGGGGGAACAGGGGAATGGGGCTGTGCAAGTGGTGAGGTAGCATGTGTACTTGAAGCTCCACTCATGAGAAAGAAGTCTTTGGAGTGCGGTTTCACACTCCTTCAAGCTTCTCCATGCTGCATGCCAAAAACTTTTGCAAAAGAATGGAAGGCCTGAAGCAGCATGATATCACTCCCCCGAAGCCTTCTGTCAGTTTGTAAAAGTTTTTGGCACAGAGAAGAGCTTTTGGGGCCGTGGTCTCGTGCTCCTTCAGTCTCACCGAGGTTGTCAGACCTTCCAAAAGTGGGTCGACTATCCTGCACAGGCAGCCTCGGTGAGTCCCACTCAGTCTCTGCTCTTACCACTCTGCTTTTGGAGCCTAGGAAGCAGATGGCTTGGCAGCCTGGCTGGGGTGGTGGTGGTGGTGGTGGTGGAGAGGGGAACCAGGCCACGTGAGCAGCAGGCCGATGTGTGCACAGCTCCACTCAAGCAAAAGGGGCACCACACGCCCAAATGGAACTGCATGTATGCACCATGTATGTCTCTCAGACAGCCCAGTTCTGAATAGGCCATGGCCTGGTAGCGTGCTGCAGCTGGGGGTTGGGGATCCAGAGGCGTTCAGGGTCGACTCAATGACTGCAAAGTGGCCGGGTCTTGTGGTTGCAAAACAAGCCCAATAATCACACACCCCCAACCATGCTTGACAGTTGATATGAGATATTTGTGCTTATTTGTACGTTTGGTTTTTGCCAAATGTGGTTCTGTGCATTATGGCCAATTTTCTCCACTTACAGTCAGGTCCAGAAATATTGGGACATCGACACAATTCTAGCATCTTTGGCTCTATACATCACCACAATGGAGTTGGAATGAAACAAACACAATGTGCGTTAACTGCAGACTGTCAGCTTTAATTTGAGGGTATGTACATCCAACTCAGGTGAACGGTGTAGGACTTACAGCAGTTTGTATATGTGCCTCCCACTTGTTAAGGGACCAAAAGTAATGGGACAATTGGCTTCTCAGCTGTTCCATGGCCAGGTGTGTGATATTCCCTCATTACCCCAATTACAATGTGCAGATAAAAGGCCCAGAGTTCATTTCAAGTGTGCTATTTGCATTTGGAATCTGTTGCTGTCAACTCTCAAGATGAGATCCAAAGAGCTGTCACTATCAGTGAAGCAAGCCATCATTCGGCTGAAGAAACAAAACAAACCCATCAGAGATATAGCAAGAACATTAGGCATGGCCAAAACAACTGTTTGAAACATTCTCAAAAAGGAATGCACCGGTGAGCTCAGCAACACCAAAAGACCTGGGAGACCACGGAAAACAAGTGTGGTGGATGACCGAAGAATTCTTTCCCTGGTGAAGAAAACACCCTTCACAACAGTTGGCCAGATCAAGAACACTCTCCAGGAGGTAGGTGTATGTGTTTCGAAGTCAACAATCAAGAGAAGACTTCACCAGAATGAATACAGAGGGTTCACCACAAGGTGTAAACCATTGGTGAACCTCAAAAACAGGAAGGCCAGATTAGAGTTTGCCAAACAACATCTAACAAAGCCTTCATAGTTCTGGAACAAGATCCTATGGACAGATGAGACCAAGATCAACTTGTATCAGAGTGATGGGAAGAGAAGAGTATGAAGGAAAGGAATTGCTCATGATCCTAAGCATACCACCTCATCAGTGAAGCATGGTGGTGGTAGTGTCATGGCGTGGGCATGTGTGGCTGCCAATGGAACTGGTTCTCTTGTATTTATTGATGATGTGACTGCTGACAAAAGCAGCAGGATGAACTCTGAAGTGTTTTGGGCAATATTATCTGCTCACATTCAGCCAAATGCTGCAGAACTCATTGGACGGCGCTTCACAGTGCAGATGGACAATGACCCAAAGCATACTGCAAAAGCAACCAAAGAGTTTTTGAAGGGACAGAAGTGGAATGTTATGCAATGGCCAAGTCAATCACCTGACCTGAATCCCATTGAGCATGCATTTCACTTGCTGAAGACAAAACTGAAGGGAAAATGCCCCAAGAACAAGCAGGAACTGAAGACAGTTGCAGTAGAGGCCTGGCAGAGCATCACCAGGGATGAAACCCAGGGTCTGGTGATGTCTATGCGTTCCAGACTTCAGGCTGTGATTGACTGCAAAGGATTTGCAACCAAGTATTAAGAAGGGAAAGTTTGATTTATGATTATTATTCTGTCCCATTACTTTTGGTCCCTTAACAAGTGGGAGGCACATATGCAAACTGCTGTAAGTCCTACACCATTCACCTGAGTTGGATGTACATACCCTCAAATTAAAGCTGACAGTCTGTAGTTAACGCACATTGTGTTTGTTTCATTCCAACTCCATTGTGGTGGTTTATAGAGCCAAAGATGTTAGAATTGTGTCGATGTCCCAATATTTCTGGACCTGACTGTAGGTCTCATCTGTCCAAGCAATGTTCCAGAAGTCTTTTTTTTTAAGTTTTAAAAAGGTTTTATTAAATATTAAAAAATCAATATCTACATAAACAGTGTATTGTCTGAGTACAGTTACTTATGAACAGTAATAATCATAATAAAAACAATACTACATTAATATTAGTCACATAATAGTTTTACTTATCCATTTCAGTGGATCTTCCTTATATAATTAATCGTTCTATTACACTTCCACATTTCTAACTTGTGTTTCTGCTAGTTAGCCATTGATAAAATAAATCCCATGTTATAAAGTATTCAGTTTCTTCCTTCTCCTTAATTTTAAGTGTTAATCTATCCATTTCTGCACATTCTAGTATTTTTTTAATTACGTTTTCTTCTGCAGGGATCTCTTCGTTTTTCCACCATAGTGCAAACGTAATTCTAGCTACTGTTAACACATGTAAAATTAAATATGTATTCCCTTTATCATATTTTTCTGGTAAAATACCCAACAAAAATATTTCTGGTTTTAGATCTATGTGTTGCTTTACCATTTTTCTAACCATGTATGTATTTTTGTCCAATATTTTTTTGCCTTTGGGCATGTCCACCACACATGATAATACGAACCTGGTGTCTGATTACACTTCCAACATTTAGCAGACATGTCCTTAAACATCTTTGCCAATCTTGCCAGTGAAAAGTGCCATCTATAAAACATTTTACATAAATTTTCTTTATATGCAGTTGACATTGTTAGTTTATAATTCCTATCCCACAATTTCTGCCATTTATCTAATTCTATAGTATAACCAAAAATTTTAGCCCATACTATCATTATTTCCTTCACTCCAGTGGTGGGATTCAAAAATTTTTACTATGGGTTCTGTGAGCATGGCTTGGTGGGCATGGCAGGGGAAGGATACTGCAAAATCCCCATTCCCTCCCCACTCCTGGGGGAAGGATACTGCAAAAATCCCCATTCCCTCCCCACTCCTGGGGAAAGGATACTGCAAAATCCCCATTCCATTCCATCCCCTCCCCACCCCACTAATCTGCTTTCCAGCTCCGTTCTCCTGTGCAGGGCAACAAGAAGACCCAGCCGATCACCTGGGAGGCAACAATAGACCGACTACATCGATCACCTGGGAGACAGCAATAGACCCATCACACCGATCGGCTGGGAGGCAGCAAATAGATCAATTGAGTGGCCCAGCCTTACTGGCTAGGCCTCCCTGCAGCCCCTTGGGAGCAAAAACGGGCCACAGGGGACTGTGCTGTACCCCCCTGCACCCCGTATTTATTTATTTATTTATTTATTTATTTATTTATTTATTTATTTATTTCATCAAGCATGTATTTTATGACAGATACAACTGTAAACATAATTATAAATACATGAAAAGGATACAAATAAAAGAAAACATTAGGACAGGGATGGTAGGCACGTTGGTGTGCTTATACACGCCCCTTACAGACCTCATAGGAATGGGGTGAGGTCTATAGTAGACAGTCTAAGGTTAAAGTTTTGGGCCTAGTAAGCCTCCCTGCAGCCCCCTGGGAGCAAAAATGGGCCGCAGGGGGGGACGC